GCCCAGGTGGCGGCAACAAGAAAAAAAACCAAACCACGACCCACCCCCCCCACCGCCGGGGAACGCCGACACCAGCCATCGTATGCCGGCCGTGAAAGCCTTCGACAATACATTGACAGTGTTTCAGTTTGAAAACTGTAATAAGCATGTCACATATTTTAGAAGTCTGTATCATTTGGTTTCAGCTATTTCTTTGAAAAAAGCAACATTATAAAAAGAAAGAAGAGGTGACCCATCACTTATAACTTTATCAAACTGGTTAGTTAAGAAAAACCATCTAAAATAGCACATTATCCAGAAATATAATCAAGAATTATCTTTAGATCAAGCAATTGAAACTTAGTGAATCTTAAAGGCCTGAATGTGCAAGTAACAATGTAGTTCCTAGTAGCAGTAATAAAACAGGCAAGTTTCTGAACTTATGGACACTCTTCAGGCAAGCTGGATATTCATTAATTAAATGGAGGAGAGAGAAAAAGCAGCTGGCTTGGATGAAATAGAGATTGGTACGTGGACTTAATTTGACTAACCTGGGCATGGTGCAAAAAAAGAGGTCAAGTTGTACTACCTGCTATTTTTGTTGGTAACCTTATAATATTTATTCTTTCAGGCTAGTATAAACATGCAATCTCTCCTTTCACACGGAAACAAGATCTGTGACTTCAGTCAGCATGACTGGAAGCTGTTTATCTACTCCCCACATCAACACAGCTTACTAATGTGCCAAACCAATGCTGCTGCCACAGAGAATTTATTTCCAAACTTTAGGCCTTTGCTAGCCCTGCTTAAGCAATATATCGTATGTAGGGGTTTATGGAGAGACAAACAATACCATCATGATGAGTTCTTTCAAAAACCTACAGTATTATACTGAATAAAAGCCAAGACATATCCTTTAGGGCAAATTTACATTGTGCTTACATAACCACCCAATGCACATTCTTCTAGCAATGCTAATTTACACAGGAAAAACAAGGTTGAAAGAAAGATATTAGAGACCTTTGGATCTTGCTCTTCTGGATATTGTATCTTCCCCACCCTTTAATTTTCCAGCCAATGAGACTCGCTTTCAGTATTTCAAAAGGCAAGCAGTACACAGGCAGATAATTCATGTCAAATCAATGACATTAAGAAGGTGAGAAGTGGGGAAGAAATAAACACAGCAGCACAGGATGGCCCTCTTTATCCATTCTTTTAAAGGGGAAGGACCTACATCTCGGCCAAAGCAGCCCACAGAATAATCTCAGCCCACCAGGACCACTGGCTCACAAACAGCTTGCCACTATCTCCAAGAAGAAAAGCCACTGCAGGAAGCTTTGCAAGAGAGCTCTAAATTTACCACCCTTGCTCTGATGTAATTGCCCTTAATCCTATCACTCTTCCTCATTAGCCAGAATGATTCAAAGGAGGCATGAGAAGTTTTGCATGGACCTGCCTCACAGCATGTTAATTCACATTATTAAAGTATATTTTGATTAATACGCTTTGCAATTTTTTCCAGTATTTTTTGCGCTACTGCATTAACTTAGAATCCAATTCCTTATCCAGTAAGCTGGGCCATTTACACAGCAAATAAAGTTCAGTATGGAGATCCAAGTCCAACAAAGGCCTTACTTGCCTTTTTTTTTTTTTTTTTGCTTAAGTCACTATATTAATTTGTGTGCGTGTACATCTTCAAATCGTTGACTGCTGGCTACTGCCTGGACTAGTATTTTAAATATACCACAAATTAACCTCCATGTCTCTTCAACAGGGAAACATTCACTTAAAGCTACCTGCGCAGACATATTTAACCCAACTGAAATGTGTGGATTTTACTTCTGGGTAAACATTAAGAACATCTGGAATGTAACTGTAGATTAATCCAATACACTGTTGCAAAAAAATTCAGGATTTTTTTTTCCTGGCGATACGTATAACAATTAGTATGCAATATAATTAAAATAATTAACCTTCATTATGCAATCCCACTTCTCTTGCCAGCTTTGGATTTTTTTTTTCCTAGCAAAGACTGCTAATCTCCCCCTACCATCAGCAAACTCTGCAGGGTGTAGGTTCCTAATTACTTTCACTGTGCAGCAAAACGCCTCCCCTCTCCAGCCAAAAGCATTCTGCAGAGTACCAGTCCAGATGTAGCAGCCAGTCAGTCCTGCGCTGTTTACCGGGGAGGGGAAAGGAAGGGAAGGAGGTCAATCCTCATTACATCAGCTGCAAGGGGATCATCAGCCACTGCTGCAAAACCACAGCATTCAGTCATGCTAAGGAAAG